TTGGTGCAATAATCAAGAAAATGTCTCACAGATATGCACAGGCCAATCCCATGGAGGAAATGCCTCAGTCGAGATTCCCTCTTACCAGGTGTGTCACGTTGACAAGTAGACCTATCCAGCACAAATAGCATCATATTTAGCCCCAAAATACAACGTGGTTTTTAGCAGTGGAAGACGATTCAATTTCCTTGATTTTTTTCTTGACATATTTTCGAGGTGCATCAATGCTTGTATACATAACAGAGAGAATTTTCCAGAAGGAAAGGAGCAGTGTTTTCCCTAAACCCTTAGGTGACATCTGTCTCAGAATTCCAGTCCACGACCTTCTAGTATAAAGGAAAGCGTGCAGAGTCTTAGTCTCTTAAAAATAAACATTTTAGTCACTGCTAAGTTGCTTGTGCTCCTATAAATAACTCCTCACCTGTACTCATGTAAGCAACTCTAAACTCATTGGGCCACCAAAATGTGTTTAAAAGACAAAAATAGAGAAGAGCTGGTTGGGAAGAGGAAGAGGATCAGTGACAGCGGGAGGACCGCCAGAGCGGGGAGGGGGCGTGCGCTCAGAATGCGTTCTGGGCATGTCTGAGAGTGCCGTAATGGAGCCCGTTAGTACGGATACTTAATACATGCTAATAAAAAGTAATAAACTTTAAAGTCTTTCTGTAAACTGGAGGATGTTTTTCCTCTGCATTCTCACTGAAAAGTGAAGGCCTTGGGTCTTCCTTACTGAGTATTTCAAAAATGTCCAGGCGCCCGTCTTCACTTCTCCGCACATAATCTTTTGTAGTAACAATCACAATAGACCCCGGGAAGCAAAGTTACACTGAAAAATATTCTCCAGGGTTTTTCTTTTTTTTTCTAGAACACATTGTTTCCTTTAAAAAAAAAAATCTATTTTAACAAAATGAGATGTAAAAAAATGTCAAAGCTTAAGTAAGTTTTGCATTATTTAGTTCACAATATAGCTTCCAATTCTTTTTGGATGTTGCATCAAATTCCTAATCTCTTTTTCTCTTTGCTTTTTCATACCCACTGTGCAGTAATGTGTTCTGCCTACGAAGAAGCCAGGAAGTCAGGCAGGGAAAATGCTTGCTCAGAGAGGACGCCACCCCAGTGGGCTCTCAGGGGCTTTTGTTTTCTTTTGTTTCATCTTAAAAAACCATTATTTATTAAAACTTTTAACTTTAGCATCATAAAAAGAAATGTCAAAAGGATTCCTGTATTTTTAATGGCTTTGACTTTACAGGAAAATAGAGCATATATAGAAACACACACACACGAACACAGCACCTGCCCCCCCGAAAACTTACAGAGCTGATGTGCTAAAACCAGACTGAAAACCTTATAAAATCAAGTAAAGTCTGTGAAGGAAAGACACGGGAGAAGGGATGGAAGCCCTGATACAGTAGCAAAACAAAGAAAACTCAAGTCATCAATGATAAAAACTCACTTTTAGAGGATACGCTCCGTGATAAAGTGCATACTTAGCATGCATGAGGTACTAGCTTGATCCCCATCACCAAAACAAAACATTATTTTTAAGTTGTGGGGATGCCGAAACTTTCCTGGTATGGTCAAGAATACCTGCAGTCTCTACTACTATTTAACACTGGATTTTTGGTATCAGCCGGAAGGAAGCAAGTAGTAGCCTACAAGTTAGAAAAGAGAAAAATCCTCTTTACTTGGAGCTGGAGAGATGGCTCGGTGGTTAAAGGGCACTTGCTGCTCCTGAAGAAGACCAAGGTTCAGTTCCAGGGCCCACATGGCAGCTAACAACTCTGTATAACTCCAGTTCCAAGGGATCTCATGCCCGCTTCTGCCCTCATGGGCGTTGCATGCATGGGTGCACTAATATACAGGCAGGAAAAACACTCATACACATAAAATAAAGATAAATGTTTAAATAAATAATTCTCCCTGTTTGAGCGTGATGAGAGAATACTTGCAAACTCCAAGAAAATGCTTACTAAAACTAATGAAGAAGGAAAAAGGAACTAAAGTTAACACAAAAATAATTATCATTAGGATTTGTATTTAAAATAAAGAACTCATACATCTCCAGAATAAAAGATAAACCAATCTCCAAATTCTCAAAGAATACAAACAAGACATTTTCTTCAGAGAAGACATGTGACAGCCAATAAATACATGAACAGAGGCTCAACATCTTTAGTCATTAGTGAAAAAACAAATCAAAGCCACAGTAAAGTGACATTTCGTACCCACTTAGCTAGGAAGCTACAATAAAAAGGAAGTCACAACAGGTGGACAGAGATGGGAGAATTGACAGCCCTCAGATACTGCTACAAGGGCTGGAAGCCTGGAAGCTGGAGCCGCTGCTTTGGAAGCCAGTTTGGGAGTTCCTCAAATGTTAAAAACAGAACCTCTTGTTCCCAAAATATGTCGTGAGAATATATGCTGATGCACATACTTGCATGTGTGTGTAGCAACATGACTCCTGCATCCCAGAAGAAGAAACAACAAAGTGTGCACTCCCTGGTAAATGCAAAAGCAAATGGTATGTTCCTACATCCAAAACAGGAGCGGAGTACTGATGTATGCTGTGGATAAACTTTTGACACATTGTGCCAAGTGACGAGATCTCAGGAGACTGGAGAGATGCTCAGCAGGTAAGAGCACTGGCTGCTCTCTAAGAGGACCCGGCTCAGTTCCCAGCACCCACATAATGGCTGACAACTGTCTGTAACTCCAGACCCAGGGGATCTGATACCCTTTTGGCCTTTTTGGGTACTGAGCAGGAAAAAAAAAAAAAAAAAACCACAACAACAACGCTGAGCTGTGCACTTTAAATAGGAAAATGTTCACATATACAAAGCGTTGCTCAGTAACACTAATAGGAAATGAATAGCCTTCTCATATATATAAACCAGAATCAGAAGATGAGATCAAAATTTAAATTTCATTTATAATAATAACAAAAATACTTGAAACATTTTACAAAGAAATGCATATTTAATAAGGAAACAAACTCTCTTGAAAGATACAATAGTAGGATTTATTGTATCTCCTCTAATAATTTTTTACATGTGCCAATTAATATATAAACCCTGTTTTGCCAAGACACAAAACAGGAAGAATGAACACCTTTTCCTGGTGCAGAAATGAAATGAAAACTGAAAACATTTCTGACACTTAACTATTACTCTCTTGAAAGATACAATAGTAGGATTTATTGTATCTCCTCTAATAATTTTTTACATGTGCCAATTAATATATAAACCCTGTTTTGCCAAGACACAAAACAGGAAGAATGAACACCTTTTCCTGGTGCAGAAATGAAATGAAAACTGAAAACATTTCTGACAAACTTAACTATTTTCTACTGAACCTTTTTTTTTTTCCTTTTTAACAAAAAGAATGATTTGGGGCAGGAGAGATGGCTCAGTGGTTAAGAGCACTGGCTGCCCTTGTAGAGGACTGGGGTTTGGTTCCCAGCACCCACATGGCAGCTAACAGCCACCAGTAACTATAGTTTCACACATCTGATGACCTCTTCTGGCCTCTGGTTGCACTTACATACATGCAGGCAAAACATACACATGAAATAAAAACAAATAAATCAAAAATTTTGAAAAAGCTAGGTGTGGTGGTGTACACCTTTAGTCCCACTCAAAAGGCAGAGGCAGACCGATCTCTGTGAGTTCACGGCCAACCTGGTCTACATAGTGAGTTCCAAGCCAGCTGGGATTACAGGGAGACTGTCTCAAAAAGACCCCCAAAAAGGATTATTCTAAATGCAATCAGCTGTAGTAATTTCAAATGGTTCCTCGATTATTATAGACTACAGAGTTATATAAAATAGTATTTTTCTAACACTGCTGTGGTTTGGATCTTGAATCTCAGTCAAAGGCATGGTGTGAAAGGCTTGGTCTCCAAGCTGGCACTTTTGAAAGGAGGTGGAACCTTTGAGATGAGGGGCATAGTGGGAACTGCTTAGGTCACCAGGGGTATGCCCTTGAAAGGGATGCTGGGACCAGCCCCTTCTTCTTTGCTCCCTGGCTGGTGATATAATTTCCCTATGCTGAGCACTACGATCATGATGTCCCCACCTCAGACCCAAAATAGCATCCAACCAGTCATGCATTGGAACAGACAAAACTGTAAGCCAAAAGAGGTATTTTGTTTTAGCGATGAGAAGCTTATTGTCATACTTTCGGTTTTCTTCTTTGTTGTTGTTTTGGGGTTTTTTGTTTTGTTTTGAGACAGGGTCTCTCTGTAGCCCCAGCTGGACTGGAACTTGCTATGTAGACCAAGCTGGCCTCAATCTCACAGAGATTCACCTGCCTCTGCCTCCAGAGTGCTGGGATTAAAGCCGTGCACTACCACGCCTAGATTCTATTGATTTTCTTTTTTATTTTTAATTTTTATTTATTATTTTTATTTTATGTGTATGAGTATATTGCTTGCATGAATGTAAGTGTACCAGTGTCATACAGTGTCTGAGGAGGTCAGAAGGTGTCTGATTCCCCGGAACTGAGGTTACAGGTGGTTGTCAGCCGCCATGTGGGTGCTGGAAATTGAACCCAGGTCCTCTGTAAGAGCAGCCAGTGCTCTTAGTCACTGAGCCATCTCTCCAGCCCCCTTGGTTTTCTTTTTTAAATTAATTTATTGTTTTTTTATTATTTTATTTTATGTGTATGAGCATTTTGCCTGCATGTACATAAGTGCATCCACATCATGCAATGTCTGTGGAGGTCAGAAGAGGTTGTTGGATCCCCTGGAACTGGAGTTAAGACAGTTGTTAGCTACCATGTGGGTGCTGGGGACGGAACCTGGGTCCTCTGCAAGAGCAGCCAGTGCTCTTAACACTGAGCATCTCTCCAGCCACTTCCTGCCCCCTGATTTTCTTAAAATGAATAATCAGGGTCATGATTTTCAAGAAAAAGAAATCTATTTGAGGACCTGAAATAAACTAAAATACTTAAGAACTCTGTTCTTACAGCATCTCAACGAACACACAACTGTCTTGTTTCTTGCAGCCTCACTGTTAGAAACCAAGAAGACCAGAGACCCCCTAGAGCATCCCACGAACTCAGCACAGACACTCCAACCTGTGAAGAAAGGTAAGCTCTTGCATTTTTTTAGCTCACAGCACTAACTGAAATACTAGCATTTCCCATTTTCTTTTTACATTTTATGTATCAACAGAACACACACATTTTTCTCTACCTGCCATTTAGTAAACATCAAATCTCAGTGTGGTATGCATTTCTCTGAAAAATTTCTTTTAATTCATTTCATAGCAGAGAAAAACGTCAGCCCACTTACTGATTCCTTTGGCTCATCACAAATATTAGCTCACGCTTCTTGACAAATCATAATGATGTGATTTTTGTTTTTATTTAATATACTTTTAAAAGTAAAAGGCCATAATGATACAACATATTTATTTGGTTTTCAGGAAGATGGAAGGATTCATTTTTAAGCTGTGAATTTATACTAAATAACTAAAATATTATTGTGTGACCATTCCTGGGAAGACATGAACAATCATCTACTCACCCCATCTACTGACAATAGACCAAAAAACCAGTTTCACTCAAGTCTAACCTAATGAACCAGTGACTTTATTGGGGTTGCTTTTACAGGTGCATGGGTGACTCCCAAGCAGCCTCATCACCAAAGCCCACCCCAGCATGGGGGCAGCAACTCAAAAAAGCTGCATCCCTGGACTTTTCTTTGCAGGATTTGCAGGCATTTGGGAGGGTCCAAGAAGTCTCTGGCTAGCGGTTGCTATTGCTATAACCCTGGGGTTTCACTGTGAATCCTGTGAGCACAGCAAGCTTCAGCTTTCCTGAGATTGGCAGCTTTTGTTTTCTTCCCGAGTCTCAAGGAGCTCAAAGCGAGTGTGTTTTTAAAGAACTAAGTATTTTGGGGGGAAATCATGATGTAGCGTTTTTAGTTTTAATCTTTTCTTTTAGTTTTTAATTTGGGAGGGGAGGGTGTTGGCATGCGGTCTTCTGGTAGCTCCAGCTGGCCTGGAACTCACTATGTAGCCCAGGCTGGCCTTGATCTCACAAATATCTGCCTGCCCCTGCCTCCTGAGTGCTGGGACTAAAAGCATGTGGCACCACACCCAGCCTAAAATAGAATTTCATTAGGTTTTGGGGTTTTTTTTTGTCTTTTTTTTTTTTTGACTTAGTTTGAATATCTTTAAACAGGGCATTCAAATTCCATTATATTGTCAGTTATTTTGATCATTAGTATGTTTCTTCTTCTGGTCAATTATACACGTAACTTCTTTTAATACTTCCTTTTTTTCCTTTTGCTCTATGAACCTTTCTTTTGTTTTCTAGGCTCTTCACTAGTATTGAACACATACTATGGACTATCTTTTTAAAACATCCCACTTTTCATTACCTTTAACTTTTCAATCATTTTTAACACGTATTTCTTGATTTCTTTGGCAGGAAAAAAGATATCTTTATAATTCACATAGTAAAGGAACGTAGCAGAGTACTTCAACCTTCTTCAAGTGAATTTTTTGTGTCTTTTTTTGAGACAGGGTCAGTCTAACTGTTTTTAAAAAATATTTATTTCATTATTTATTTATATGTGGGTGTGTGGGTACATACACACATGGGTGCATGAGGAGGCCAAAACAGTGCATCAGATCCTGTAGGGCTGGAGTTACAGGTAGTTGTGAGTGTGAGTGTGCTGGGAGTCATTCCTTAAAATTATAAGTCTTTTCTTTCAAAAATATCTTAGTACCTTTTTTATATGGAACATTGTCATGAATTTATGCGACTGTAATAAGGCAAAAGTCAAACACTGTAAAACTTCTATAATAAAAAATTAATTTGGAGCCAGGCATGGTAACACACACCTTTAATCCCAGCACTCAGGAGGCAGAGGCAGGCAGATCTCTGTGAGTTCAAGGCCAGCTTGGTCTACATAGTGAGTTCCAGGCCAGCTGGGGCTATAGGGAGACTCTGTCTCAAAAAGACAAAAAAAAAAAAAAAAAAAAAATTTGGTCCTGGGTGTAATGGTTCATGCCTATAAAATCCCAGCACATGGGAGGCAGAGGCAAGAGGATCTGGCCAGCCTGGGCTACACAAGTTTCAGGACAACCTGGGTTATATAGTGAGATTCCACTTAAGAAAATCAGCTTGGGCCAAGCATGGTAGAGCATGCCTTTAGTCCCAGCACTCAGGAGGCAGGGCAGAAAGATCTCTGTGAGACAGAGGCCAATCTGACATACATAGTGAGTTCCAGGCCAGCTGGGGCTACAAGGAGACCCTGATGCAAAAAAAAAAAAAAAAACACAGATTTGTGCTTGCATCTAAAGTGTGTCACAAAAATAATGAAATGATGAAGTACTTGAAAAGCAAAACTGAGTAAGAGTTAAGTTGAGCCCCAAGCAGAGGAAGGCAAGGTGCTGTTTTTCCCTAAGAACAAGTGCAGATGGTATTCAACTTAGAATGGCTCAACTTGACAATTTTGTGATTTTATGGTGCTGTGAAAGCGACACAGGATGAGTGAAAATCGTATTTCAGATTCTGACTTTGGATCTTTTCCCAGTCTGGCAATATGTGGTAGGTTCTTCTCAAGAGGCTGGGCAGAAGCACTGAGCTCTGGGCTACATTAGCAACATGATCAGGAGTGGAAACAGCTTCACTGAGCGAGGACGCTCAGCAGACTTGATGGAGTCAGGGCATTCTCATGTCGAGTACTGTCGGTTTTGCTTGGTTTATCCAGATAAACCAACATCCTGGGGCCATGATGGCAGGAGTAGAAACTAAAATTCCTGAGACCCTGAAAAGAGCTTGAGAGGTCCTGGGTCAGCAAGTCTTCAGAGATCTCCAAAGAAGACTTTGTCTGAAGAAATGTCATCTACGATTTTGACCCCAAGACTAAATAAATGTGGGCTCATGATCAAAGAGTACCAGATTCAAAAGTAGCACCTCCAAAATGAGCCCATAGAAACAACTCAAATTTAGAGCCAAAAAGAACTGCAGATGTTAGAACTGAAATAAAACATCTAGGAACAACCTCTTACTTATTTAAAGAAGTGCGAGATGGAAACACAAAATGATTCTCAGATCTAAAGAAGGGCATGTCAGTGAATACCTGCAAACCAGTGTGGAAAGAACTGAGCATGAGATCAAGAGTTCAAGTCCAGCTTGGGCTACACAGTGAGCTTATCTAAAAGAGAAATGAGTAAGAAGAACTCAACTATGAAAAACTTCTGGTGGGGAGGGGACAGCCATCTGTCACTCCAGTTCCAGGGGATCCAACACCTCTTCTGACCTCCATAGACATTGCACGGCATGGGTGCACTTACCTACATGCAGACAATGCACTCATATACGTAAAATAAAAATAATAGAATTTTTTTTAAAAGAAAAACTGCTGGAAGACTATGGTACCACGCTGTGCTCCTTCAGGATATTCCTACCAGAGAAGCGTGCTAAACAGTGTGTGAGGTCCCTCTTCATTATTTTCCTTCAGTAAAATTTTAGTATATTCACAATATTATACAACCTCTACTTTCAGAATATATCCATCACTACACAAAGAAACTGTTAGCCGTAGTTACATTATCTTACGACGACATAGGAAAACCCACCATTTTCTCAAAATAAAAAGGTTAATTTAAGAAAAAATTATGCCTCCTTGTCAAAAATTTCACAATATAGGGCCAGTAAGATGGTTCATCAGATAGAGGTGCTTGGTGCTAAGCCTGGGAACTTGAGTTTGAGCCTTGGAATCCATATCGTGGAAGCGGTCCTCTGACCACAACAAACACATACACACACACACACAAATAACAAATAAATAAATAGATAAACATTTTAAAAAAATTTAATTAGTAGCATGCAAGTAAAGAAAATAAAACATTAAACACTGTTAACATCTTTTAAAATTTTTTTTCATTTTATGTATATGAGTATTGCCTGATGTATGTAAGTGCACCCATGTCCTGCAGTGCCCATGGAGGTCAGCAGAGGGCGTCAGATCCCCTGGAACTAGAGTTACAAATGGTTGTTGGCTGCTGTGAGGATGCTGGGAACAGAACCTGTGTCCTCTGCAAGAGCAACCAGTGCTCTTAACTGCGGAGCCATCTCTCCAGCCCCATTAGCATCTTTTTTAATGAACAAGAAGATTTTAAGAAAATAAAACATTTTTTAAAATGAAAATTTATTGCTCCTATCTAAAAATGAATGATTGTAATAGGTGATTATTAGTGAGTATGAAGGTGTCCAGGAAGACCATGTGACCAGGGGAGCACAATGTTAAAAACAAATTAAATAAAGTAAGGCTAGAATGACAAGATCTGACATACAGAGTCCCTGATTAAAAGAGAGGCTAGAAGTAATAAAGATTTTCCAGATCTGATGAAAGGCATAAATACCACGGAAGGGTGTGTGTCCCACAAGATGGATCAGGTAAGATAAGTGAGGTCTGATCTGGACATAATTGTAGTAAAACTGAAGAACACAAAAGCCAAAGAGGGGAGGAATGCAGCTCCCTTCACAGTGGCATGAACAATAACGCCCACTTAGCATTGTGTAGGCAGCAAACTTGCCTTTCAGGAATAACCAGGAAGTAAAGGCGTATTATTTAAATACTCAAATAAATAGAAAGTTTCCTACTGTGTACAAAGACATTCTAAAGGATGCTTGCCAGGAGGTAAAAACACAATCCCAAATCAAAAGTCTGAGTTGTGAGAACTGTGAGCAGATACGTGAAGACTCAAACAAATATTGGTGTTGAAACAAATATAGCTGGAATGAGATGATAATAGTGTTAACTGACAGCTTTTTGTTGAGACAGGTTCTCATGTAGCCGAGGCTAGCCTCGAACTCTTTAAGACTTTGAACTCCTCCTGATCTTTCTGCTTCTACCTCCCAAGTGCGGTGATTACAGGTGTGCAGCACCATGTCCAGCTATGCAGTGCTGGGGATCAGACCCAGGGCTGCATGCATTCTAGGCGGGCACTGTCCTAACTGAGCTACATTCCCAGTCCAGGTGATAATTTTTTTAAAGCCACAGAACTAAATAAATAATATTAGGTTAAATATATAAATAACATTAGACAAAAGGCAGAAATAAATACAAATAGTGTCAAAACATGGAAAGTGAAAGTGATAAAAGAAATGAAGAGAAAATCTTTACCACATAAATTAATTGCTGGAGTAGTTAAAATAATTATAAATAACATTGAGTGCTTACCATGGTCCGAGAACTGTCTAAGCACTTTACAGTGCAAATCTAACTTGTTAAATCTTCACAACTCTTTGAGGGAGGTACTGTTAGTATCCAGGAGAGACTTGAGTAATTTGTCCAAGGCCTCAAAGTTGGGGAGGACTGAGGCTTCATCCTGCAGGCTGCTCCTTTCCCGGTGACGCCTGCGAAGGGGAAAGTATGAGCTCAAGAACAGCCTGCACTTTGCATGGCAGGTTGTGTCCTGCCTGGAGTAGGCTCGCCCCTCCCTGATTTACACAAAGGTATAATCACATCTCTGAGGGCAGGTGGTGGCCTTGTAGAGATGGTGCTGCTGCATGGACTTCAGTCTAACTCAAGTCTACTCTGCCCACTGTTCTGTACTGCTTTTTGATGTTGATGTCAAACAAAATGGACACAGATACAGATACAGACAGAGGGGGTCACTAAAGGTAAAATAGCTTACATGTAACTAATAAAAATAACTCTAAAATGTGAAAGCAAAAAGTTCCAGAGTAGGATATTTACAAATCTGCTACCATGTGGATATTTCTCTAAAAAATTTTTAGTTATTATTTTATATGTCTATGAATGCATTTCCTGCATGTATTACAAATGCACCTGCGTCGTGCAATGCCCACAGATGTCAGAAGACGGCGTCTGATCCCCTGGAACTGGAGTTACAGATGGTTGGTAGCCACCATGTGGGTGCTGGGAATTGAACCCCCATCCTCTGCAAGAGCAGCCGGTCAATGCTCTTAATCGCTGAGCCACGTCTGCAGCACCTCCTTGTGGACATTTCTAAGAGATCAAGTGTAACATCCAACAAACAGTCTGAAAACATTTACAATTGGCTAAGATTTTCCTCGTCGTTGTTGCTGTTAGTGTTTTTCTTCATTTGTTTTCTGTTTTGGCATCAAATCCAGGGCCTCACAGGTGCTAGGCAAAGGTTCTTCAACTGACTTACATCCCCACCCCTTTTTAAAAACAACTTGTTTTGGTTATACTTTCCTTTATAATTTCATAAGAGTCCATATGTATAGCTAAAGGCTACACAACAAGCAACAATGCCAGACAGGTGATACCTTCTTTTGAGTTGTTGGCCAGGGTGGCCAAAGGGACTCCCAAGATAGTAACCCAGCACAGAACTGGGAAAATGAACAGCAGACCCCAATCTTATCTAAAGGAATATTGACAACTGATTACCACTAGATGGGGTGCCAACAACACAGCAGACAGTAGCAGGGATATCAGAGTATAAGGGCTCCAGTAGGGGGAGGGAGGCTGTGGGAGGGTGCTACCTGGGAAGTGGGTGTAGAAATAAATAAATAAATAAAATTTAATTTAATATAAAAAAACAAAACTTGTTTTGATACAAGGATTCACTATGTAGACTAGGCTGATCTCAAGCTTACAATCTTTCTGCCTGTGCCTCCTGCATGCTGGGATTACAGAAGTGCATCACTATCCGTGTCTGCATTTCATAAAGTATTTGCATAAATTTCTGGGATCATTATAAAACAGACTATGCTTCCGCCCCCCCCAAATTAAAGTATAAGTCAGAAACTTTAAAAACATACAGTAAATCCTTATATTTTTTGATATTTTCAAGATTACTTCCAGTATCTCCTCAAAGAACAAATCATAACAAATATTAAGAAATAGGTAATAACTACATGGAAGTGTGGCTATATCAAAATTTGGGTTGCTGAAAATACAGTGAAGAAAAATGTAACCTCTAACGTTTCTAAGAAAAGAAACTATTCATTAGTAAGCTAAGTGTCCGGCTTATATGCACAAAGAAAGTAGGAGGGAGATATTAATATGTAGTCACAGAAACTGATGAAATAAAAAGTAGAAAGAATGCAGAAGTTAGGGGCAAAAGTGGTTTCTTTAAAATTATACATTTATTTATTTATGTGTGTCTCTGTGTGTATGTCTGTATGTGGTCCTCTTTCATTGCATATATGTGGAGGTGACAGGACAACTTGTGGTGTTGGTTCTCTTTCTACCATACAGGTCCCAGAGATTGAACTCAGGTGGTCAGGCGTGGCTGCAAGTTTCTTTACCTGCTGAGCCATCACCCCAGCCTAAATTCTATTACTTTAAGAAGATTTATGCCAAATACGTCTTCTACGACTGATCCAAAAAATAAAGTACACAATGGCATTACATTAGAAGTGAAAATGGAACTATGATAGGATATCTAGCCGATGCTAACAGCGGGATTGAGATATGCCAGCATATGACAACACAGACACTGAGCAAATTCCTCGCTAGGAGAAAGCCATTCAAACACACAAGAAATAAGGAATCAGAGTAATTCCAAACAGTTAAACTATATCAGCAATTAATAACCTTCCAAATGAATTTGCTGCGGTCGCGTAGTGAAGCACCGAGACCGGTAGTTTAAAATGTTAGAGATCTGTGTGTCACAGTTCAGAGATCAGAAGTCCAAGATCGAGGGTGTCAGCAGGGCCCGGCTTCTGTGCGCCAGTCTTCACGACCCTAGAGGAGACCCCCTCCTTGTGTCTTCTAGCTTTGGGTACCTGCCAGCAGCCTGGTGTTCCCTGGCTTGTACATGTCTCCTTAGTTACATGGTCACATTCTCCATGTGTCTCCACAGCATCTTCTCTCTGTTCATGTCCGTTCAAGAATACTGACTCATGGGGCTGGAGAGATGGCTCAGCGGTTAAGAACACTGGTTGTTCTTGCAGAAGACCTGGGTTCGAATCCTAGCACCCATGTGGCAGCTAACAACTGTTCATAACTCCAGTCCCAAGGGATCCGACAGCCTCTTCTGAACTCTGCCTCTTCTGAACTCTGCGGGCCATTGCATGTCATGGGTGCACTTACCTACATGCAGGCAATACATGCATACACATAAAATAAAAATAATTTTTTAAAAATTCACAAAAAAAGAATACTGACTCATTCCAGATTAGGTCTCACCTAATGATCTCATCTTAACATGGTTGAGTCTGCAAAGACCCCATTTCCAGATAAGGTTATAGTCTGGGGTTCTTGGGATTAGGGTTGCCCTGTTGCCTTTGAGAGGACACAATTCAAACTGTAATATTTTTCTTTTTCTTGGTGAAAGGGAGGTTGAGATAAGGTCTTCCTATGTAGGCCTGGCTGGTCTGGAACTCACTATTTAGACCAGGCTGACCTGGAACACAGAGAGATCTGCCTGCCTCTGCCTCCCCAGTGCTGGGATCAAAGGTGTGCACCGGGCTCAACCTGTAATGTCTTTCTACAGAATCAGTATTGTATCCATATGATTTTATGGGCCACTTCCACAAAACATTCCAGAAACAGATCATTCCAAGTCTATAGGACTTTCACATAACTACCAAGACCTAAAAAACTAATATAGTAAAGCCAAAATCTGAGAAGGCCAATATGAAAACAGAAAGGGAACAGTAAGTTCTACTCACAGGGCGACATGGGTGAATCTTACAAACTTAATGTGAGGTGGGAAAAGCAAGTTGCAGAAGAAAACATAAGGCCATGTTATAAAATCCTTTTAAAACTGCAGAATACAGATGAGCATGGTGGCACATACTTTTAATCCCAGCACTCTGGAGGCAGAGGTAGATGGATCTCTGTGAGTTCAAGGCTAGCCTGGTCACTATGTATAGTGAGTTCCAGGTCAGCTGAGGCTACAGGGAAACCCTGTCTCAAAAAGACGAAAAAAAAAAAACCAAAACTGCAGAACACATTCATCAGGAAATATACATATATAAAAGCTGTAGGAAAAGAGGTATTAAGGATCACTATTACATAGACTGTCTTTTGATCTCAATGTAGTTCAAACAAAAGTAAAACCTCAAAGATAGTAAGCCCCAAATCAAGCCCAGCCATTCCCTGGGGTGATGGTGCACCTTTGTGAGCGAGCTGTGGCTCTCGAGGTAAACGGCATGTTCCTAGCTGATCATCTTATGGCCAGCCTTCAGAACTCACATTTATATTACATATATTCTTTTCTATTTCTCAAACATTATACTATTTTCAAAAGTATAAATGGCCATTACCCCGCTGGACTAGTGTCCGGTCTGGCCTAGTTCTGTCATAGATGATTTGGGAGTTTGGGGTCAGATGGTTGCAGGATTTTTCTTTTACTTCTATAATTTAAAAGTATTGCCACATGTGTCCAAATGTAAACAAATTCTGGCTGAAGGGCCAGTCCAGCAGATGCCCACAAATCTATTTGAAAGCGTCTATGTTTTTGCACAAGGCTTAAAGAATTGAGAACAAGGCCAGGTGTGGTGGTGCACGCCTTTAATCCTAGCGCTCAGGAGCCAGAGGCAGGCAGATCTCTGTGAGTTCAAGGCCAGCCTGGTCTACCAGAACAGCACTTTCCATTCCTAAAAGAGCCAAACATTCACGTGTTTCCATCATGAGAAAGGGAAAGCTGTTCCTGGCGAGGGAATCAAATTAACCGCTGTTATCATCCCCCTTTTGTTCCCTCTCTTTCTACCTGTGCTCAGCCCAACTCCCACTCTGGAGGAAGTCAGTGCCTGGGCCCAGTCATTCGACAACTTGATGGTCACCCCAGCGGGAAGAAACGTGTTCCGGGAATTCCTGCGAACAGAGTTCAGTGAAGAAAACATGCTTTTCTGGATGGCTTGTGAAGAACTGAAAAAGGAAGCTAACAAAAGCATTATTGAAGAGAAAGCAAGGATAATATATGAAGACTACATTTCTATTCTCTCTCCTAAAGAGGTGTGTGTCCTAAAAGGTCTCTCACTAGTAAATCACCTACTTGTGTGTTTGGTCGTGTACTGCTACACAGTTGGGGCTATTCCCAAATACAGCCATGGGCTCTGCCTATTCATAGCATCCAAACCCAGGCAACCCCTAAAGAAGTGGGAAGGATTTTGTGCTTTTTTCTGGGAAAGGCATCCATAATTTATATCAGGGGACCCATCCATAATTTATAGTGGGGACCCATCCGTTCTAATATTGGCACTGGGTTTTGTATGTTTTTTTTAATATTTTTCTGTTTTGTGGTACTAGGGATCAAACTCAGGGACAACCACATGCTAGATAAGTTTACTATTGAGCTACATCTCCAGACTTACTGATGTTTAAAAACATTATATCCTATAAATAGTCATTTAAATAAAATTATTCCATTATTCAGAGTAAATTTTTTTCAGGTGTCTATAAAGACACTATTACCATCCAGATTCCTGGATCTGCAAAGACTTTCCCATGGCAGCCTTAATATTGCAGAAATTGCCAGAGGAGGGAAATTCAGTGCGGCATTTGTTTCTTCAGTTCTAAAATCTTGATGGTTAGGTCGTTCTCAAAACTCAGTGCTTTATAACTCCAAGTATCATCATTGTTTCCTACTGTGTGCTGCTAAGAATGTGGTTAACGGGCTGGAGAGATGGCTTAGCAGTTAAGAGCACTGGCTGCTCTTGCAGACAACCCAGGTTCAATTCTCAGCATTCACATGGTGGCTGACAACTGTCTCCAACTCCAATTCCAGGGGAATCTGACACCCTCTTCTGACCTCCATGGCCATTGCATGATACAGGTGCGCTTACACACATGTGGGTAATACACTCATACACATAAAATAAAAATAAATTTTTTAAAAGAATGTGTTTAATAAGGCAGATCCTCTGTAGTCAGTGGCCTGATGGTTAGACCCTGGTGTGATGGGGGCTAGTGGAGCTAGCTGTAAGAAAGAGATGCTCAGAAAAGATGAAACTAGGCCAAGGAGAATGAAAAGGAAATTAGCAGAAGCACAGGGGAGTGGACACATCCCAGGTCCACCAAGGGTGGCAGTGTGGCATTATGTGAGCACTGACCGCGGCAGTAGGCACGGTGCCAGCAGTGTAGGGTATCAGCCAATCACTAGGGCTTAGGAAAGGGATATTCTTCATGGAAAAGTTATGCAAAATGAAGTTCCAGTTGTGCCTTGTTTGGGAATTAGAATTTTTAAAGTTTCTGTAGTAAAAGCCATCAGTGAGGCCCTATGGCAGGGCTCCTCACAGAGCAATGCTTAGCTTACAGTGAGGATTTTAATGGACTGCATCAGAAAGGGCGGGGGACAAGGTTGCCCCAGAAAAAGGAGATGAAAAGGCCATCATTCTAGTTCCCTATCCTTAAATCCCAAGTGGTCCAGATACCTTTTGAGTGGAATAGTAAGATGGAGCTGGGAATTATGGAGCCACAGGTGACAACAGGCACAGAAGCTCAACCTTGGAGCTGGTAAACCTTGGACTTGATCCTGAGCGCACCCACAAGCCAGGGCAAGGTACAGAGTTGAGTGTCAGGACACGATTTGCACTTCAGAAACAGTTCCCCGACCAAATAATGGAGTGTGTTTGGGAAGACTCCAGAAGACCAGTTGGGAGGCTGAGAAACAAATCTAGCAACAACGGTCATTTGGACAGATGGACAGATGTGTCAGAGAAGTAGATGAAGCAGAGTATGGTGGTGCACACCTGTAATCTCAGCACCTGGAACATGGTGAGCTCACCGTCAGCCCAGGTTGTATAGTGAGACTCTGCCCAGAAGGGGAGGAGAGGGAGGAGGAAGAGTGGGAAAGGGAGTGCAAAAGGGAGCAGGAGGGAGGGAAAGAGAGGAAGAGCGAGAATGAAAGATAAGCTGGCACTGGATGGGGGGGAATGGATAGCTCCGTTTTCTTTTTTCCTAATTTTATTGTTTTTAATTGTGTGCATATGTGTGTGTCTGTGTATAAGTTTGTGCATGTGAGTGCAGTGCTGGAGTTACAAGCTGTGATGCCCGATGTGAGTACTGGGAATTGAACTCCAATCCCCTGGAAGAGCAGCATGTGCTCTTAACTACTGACATCTCTCCAGCCCCGGATAGTTCCATTTCTCAGTGAACTGAACAAGGAGCTGTGGAGATGCTGGGAATGTGTTTTGAACATATGGGGTTAAGGTGTCATCTGTGGGTAAGGGGTATACAGGAGGAGCTTTCCAGGAGGAAGATGGATATAAACTTCTGGAAAAGTCATTGCTGAATTTGGCATATATGAATGGTTAATCACATTTGCAGTTTTGTAAGAATAACATCCTGAATTAGAACTATCACAGCCAGCTCTGCAGTTCATCTAGCTGAGGCTCTTAGAAGAGATGTAGGTGTTCTTTCAACAGCTGTAGCTTGCACTCATGTTCTCCCAGAAAGGCGTGAGCCTAGTAATTTGCCCTGGCCCATGGGACAGTCTTGTCTGGGACAAGCAAACCACCAGGGTAGTATAAGCCAACATTTCCCATGAATATAGATTTCAAGCACTTCAAATTCTAATCAAATTCATACACATGCACACTCACACACTAGAAAAGACCATTTTATTTTCCAAGATGAGTTCATTAATAGGAATTCATATTTAACTTAACATGTGTATAAGAGTTTGCCTTGCCCAAAGGCCCCCAACTTAGCAAACAGCTAGAATTGAAACCTGGTGTTGCTAGCTCTCAGGCCCTGTGATTCAAGGCCCTGTGATTTGAGCGCTTCACTTCACAAATGTCTTCCTGTGGCTTCCAGAAACCCGCACCCAGTTTCTAGCTGGGCAGAAGCTTGCAGCACCCAGGTTTTTGCCTTCCCCTTACTAGATAGTTAGCAGGGATAAGTCTGCATGTACCTTCTTTCTTCAAAGGACATCCTACACTCATGTTAAAGAAACAAACTGCCGTGGTTTTCTAAAGCAGCTAGCATTCCTTAGAGTTTGTGAAAAATACAATGCCTGGTCCTGCAGACCCACAGAGTCACATTCTGGTATGGGCCAGCAGTCTGTTTACCCAGCCTTCCAGGAGCTGCTGGTGCCACCAAAGTTCCAGAACCTGATGTCATTCATCTTTGAGTTTTTTGGAGCAGTTTGGAAGACCTTGCTTGGTTTGGAACTTTTAAAAGAAAAAACAAATTATGGAAGTTTAAGAGCATTTACAAAGAGAAATATAACTGTTGCCTCTTTCCACAGGTCAGTTTGGACTCCCGAGTAAGAGAAGTCATCAACAGAAACATGGTGGACCCGTCCCAACACATATTCGATGATGCACAACTTCAGATTTATACCCTTATGCACAGAGACTCCTATCCCCGATTCATGAACTCTGCCCTCTACAAGGATCTGCTTCAGTCCTTATCTAAGAAGTCGGTTGAAGCATGAGGTTTCAGATATATTTATTATTAATAAAACTATAAAAGAATTCATGGACTATGTCTAGCACAGGGAATTTAGAGGTAGAATCTCTTCAGCTGGAGTAATACTTGGGCTGTTTTAATAACATTCTTCCTCCTACCATCATATGTTGATAATGTAAACTACAACCACCTGTAGTGATAACTTTTGAGAAAAAATGGGATACGACTGCTTTCCAAAGATAGTACACTCACATGTGTAGTGACAGTATCCTGTTCTCAGTGGCAGAGGGTGCACCGAAAACCTCCATTCTGCCTGGAGCAATGGACATACAGAGCAAATAGGACCAATTTTGTTTTGCATGAGTTCAATAGTAACATACTACCCCCACAAAGAAAAGACATTCCGGTCTTTCTCAACTATCCCTTCCTTCAGTTCGAATACTTCAGTTGGTGCCATGACCAAACTCAAGTTCACATTTTATGATGTGACCATTCCTTGTCAAAATGGCAACCCAAATCCTCTCTTGAGTGTGTATGTATGTAGACATGTCTGTATGTATGCGTGTGTACACATGGTTGATGTAAAGCAGCATGCACTTGGTGGGGCAGTCTCAGATGTTCAGTAAGAGAAATAGTGCTTAGGTAATTCTTCAGTCAGAAAGGGTTACTGTCTCTCTTGGAATCTGCCTCCCTGAAGAATGAATTTTGAAGTTCATAGCTTGGACATATTCATAAACCTTCAAATAAGCATATTTCCATTTTTATTATTTAAACAAAATGGGTATTTTCACTCTAAAAATAAAGCACAAGAGTTTTATCTCAATCTTTCATTATTCCATATTTAAGTATCTGGGGAACACAGATCACACAGTGGCACAGTGTACCTTTTACCTCCCAGACAAGTACTCTGTCTTTAGTTCCCATTATTTTTATCAAAGGCAAATGGAATAACTTCACAGTCTACAGGTAAAAGTGGTTTGTAGACCTTAGCCACCCTGAAGAATCCCATGTCTGTGAATAGGAAAGGTAATAAATCTAGACTGACTTCAGGAATAAGTCAGAAATTAATGGCAAAGGTACACCAGCTTCAGCCCTCAGGCAGGAGTTTTTGGTCATCCTGTGGTCTGGTCCTACAACAATCTGACTGGCTTCATTACGCAGCCTAAGCCCGTCACCAAAGCCCCTCTCATTATCAGTAGACCATCTCACCTCCTACCCTCCATGTAGAGTGTCCCTGACCGCCTCTGCTTTCAGTGCAACCCATGAATCTGCATAGATCAGCACCTCATCTCACCTCCTTCAGTATAGCCCCAGAGAATATGTTACTTCATACTTTTCAGGGTGTCAACCCCTTAAATATGCTTCCTGTCCCTTATCCACCAGAGGCTATAACTGCAGTTAAAACACAAACTCTGTCCTCTAGCAGGTTACATGTCAATGGCAAGCACAACGTAGTCCAGGAAGTTCTATGAGCAGACAGATACAGCTCAGAGAGTCTTGGAGATTATATGAAGATCTTGGTGTCAGTGCTGCCAAAGCTGAGACCTAGAACAAGAGCCTGTCTGTCCTGGCAGCAGGGGCAGTGGGAAGGGAGAGGAGAGGCATTTGAATGCCTCCAAATGAGTCAGCCCAGTTAAGGGCACATGAAGCATGAGGTAGTTTTAAGGTATATTAAAGGACACGTGGAGAAATCAATTGGGTGGAAGGACACAGGTGGTCAAGAGTCTAGGCTTGGAGCTGAGTGTGGTGACACATACCTGGAATTCCAGCACTTGGGAGGCTGAAGCAGAAAGAGTCTGAAGCCAGCCTGAACATGACCCTGCCTTGCCAGTAACAAACATTCTAGGCTGGAGGACTGAGTTGGGATTTCTCAGCACATAGATAAATGGGAGTGCCTGGAGAGGTAGGTCGTCGAGACAGCGCACCGTAACCCTTGCGCAGATAGGCAGAGAAATGAGTCACAAAGTAGACTTGGAAGGATTTGCCTTGACATATATAAAGAACGTGTGTGAAGCATGGCATAAGACTAGTACGCTTCAAGCGAGAACTGCAGTGTTTCCAAGGGGCGTGGCAAACTCCTCTTAACAAAGCTTTGTTACCTGGCTCTGCCTACTCTACCACACCATCTCCATCACGCTGACTTTTCCCTATACCTCAGGCTCGCTCTACTTCCCAGATAAGAACAAGCCTGCGTCCATTGCCGTGGTCAACACTCCTCATCCTCACCAGACTCCTCCACGTCCTCGGCTCCCAGTCGACACCGGCACCAGAGCAGTGCACCAACGTCTCTAAGGAGGCATTTGTCTGCAGCATTTCCCACCTTACCTCAGTAGCATGCCCTACAACACAGTGGATGATTCCCTGCTGGAAACACTGCTTCCCTGTCTTCCACAGCCCCCTCCTAGTTCTGCATATTGCCTGGGTCCTTCTCACTTTCAACTGTGGGCAGTTGAACACAACAGCCAAGCACATGAGCCCCCAGCCAGTTTCCCACAATTCCCCTGGCACGTTGTTGGTAGTGGTGCTAAGTCTTCCTGGGCATGTCAATTCACTGGTAAGAATGAGGATAATGATGACACTTGTCCTTGGCATTGCTCCAAGGACTCTGCCAAATCCATGGAGACTATAGAAGCTGTTTATGACAGGCTGATCACTGCTATTCCCTGCCTACTGAATGAGGTGGCCCTAAGGTTTGGGCTTCAGCTTACTTTTCTCAACAAGCTCTATGTTCTCCCTGTGATTTTCACCTAGGATCTGGCCTAGAATTCCTCCTGAACCTCCTCCTTCAGTCAGCTTCTAGCTGGACATCCCCTCTGGTATATCCTACTGATGAGGGAAACAGCCTGTCTCAATTTTGACTGCTTCCTTACCCTCAAAGCCTGTCCCTGGTTGTAATCCAGCCAGTCATCTAAGGTCTCACCTGGTAGTAACTCTGGCTCCTCCCCTTCTGGTGTATGTTCCCCAAGGCTTGTCAGTGGAAATGCCTAAACACTTCCTGTGTTTCTTTTTTCACCTTGCTTCTTCTGACCCCAGCATCTCATTGTATCACACGAAGTATGAGATAATTTTAAGATGTAGTAAAGGACACATGGAGAAATCAATTGGGTGGAAGGACATGGGTGGTCAAGAGTCTAAGCTTGAAGTCTACTTTGTCCAGCTTCCCAGTGGGGGCTGGAGAGATGGTTCATTGGTTAAGAGCACTGGCTGATCTTGCAGAGGACCCAGGTTCGATTCCCGACACCACATGACAGCTAACAACTGTCTACAACTCCAGTTCCAGGGGATCAGACACCCTCTTCTGACCTCCACAGGCATTGCACCTCCATGGGTACACTTATATACATGCAGGCAACACACTTGTACACATAAAATAAAAGAAATAAATTATTTAAAAAGAGCCCCCAAGTGATCTCCTGTGCCAACTCATAACCGTTAAGAAAAATCAATGGGGGCTGGAGAGATGGCTCAGCAGTTAAGAACACTGAATGTTCTTGTAGAAGACCTGGGTTCGTATCCCAGCACCCACATGGCAGCTAACAACTGTCTGTAACTCCAGTTCCAGGGGATCCCACAACCTCTTCTGTCCTCTGGGGGCATTGCACAACACGGGTGCTCTTACCTACATGCAGACAACACATACATACACATAAAATAAAAATAATAAAATATGAAAAAAAGAAAAATCAATGATTGGCTGTCTTTAGACAGTATATTGGGATAGGAACCATTTGAGGTAGCTCCTTGAGCAAATGGTTTCGCTGGTGAATTCTCTCGCACATGTAAGTACTAATGCCACACCCCCCAAACTCTACCAAGTAACCAACAAATAGGAGCCATCTTTAGACTTATTTTATGATGTCAGAATTATTCTAGTAGCCTTTAGAAAAGACAGTATAAAGAAACAAGGCCTGGAAGTGGTGGCTCATGTCTGTAGTCCAACGACCTGGGGCGCTGTGGCAGAAGGACTGCTATGGATCTGAGGCAAACCAGAACTTCTGTAGCAAGACTCTGTCTCAGAAAACAGAAGCACAAACCAACACATCAAAAGCAGGGTTGGTGAGACAGCTGAGCAGGCGAATACAAAAATTTTTGTAATAAAAAATTTTTAATAAAAAGCCCTAAAACTACAGGCCAATATCCCTGATGGTGCTGGAATGTCAGTGTTCCCAAAGCAATCGACAGGTTTAATGTTATCTCTATCAAAATTCCAATGACTCTCTTCAGAATCAGAAAAAAATACCAAGCAACAATAGTAAAATTTATATGGAACTACAGAGGACTCCAATACCTAAAGTTATCTTGAGAAAGGAAAAAAAAAAAAAAAAACTGTGGCATAACATTTTTCTGATTTCAAAATGCATAACAATAACAGTAGTTAAAACAGTATGGTATTGGGTTGAGGATTTAGCTCAGTGGTAGAGTGCTTGCCTCGCAAGCACAAGGCCCTGGGGTCAGTCCTCAGCTCTGAAAAAAAAAAAAAAAAAAAAAAAAAGACAAAAACAGTATGGTACTAAATATAAACACAGACATATTGATCAACAGAACAGAAGAGAACTGAGAAATAAAGCTACACTTAATAGAGGTGTCAACATTTTGTAATGGGGACATGGTTTCCATAACAAATATGCTTGAAAACCTGGAAATACTGAAGCGAAAGGTTGAAAATGGACCTTTTTTTATACCATAAACAAAAATCAACTCAAAATGGATTAAAGAGTTACACAGTAAGACCCAAAGCTGTAAAGAGCATGATCGAGGAAGATACCTAGCATCTTCCTCTGGCCTCCAGAGGACACACACGTGTGTGTGTGTAGCAGTTTAGTTGTTTGAATGAGAATACTCCCCATAGGCTCATGTCTTTGCACACGTCGTCCCCGGGTGCAGTGCTTTAGGGAGGTCAGTGATCTTCAGGAGGCACAGCCTTGCTGGAGGAAGTGCATCGTCAGGGGCAGATGTTGAGAGTTCATAGCCTTGCTCCATTTCCAGTTTGCCTTCTGCTTCACATTTCCAGTTCGATGTGAGCTCTCAGCTTCTGGCTCCCGCTGCTGTGCCTGAGGCCTGCTGTCGTGCCTCCCTGCAATGATGGACTCATCCCTCTGAACTGTAAGGGAAAGGAAACTTTTCCATAAGTCACTTTTGTTTATGGTGCTTTATCGCAACAGAAAAGTAATACAATGTGTATATATACATATGACATATGCATGTATGTACATATATGCACTAATATATATTATAAATATAATATTATATATACATATATATAACTTGCACAGCACAAGAACAAGAAAAGAACCTGTCACTCCACAGATATCTCTCCAGAGAAAACATACAAATGGTCAATGAAAAGAATCATTAGTCAGAGAAACACAAATTAAAACTGCAAGGTAGCATCTCCATCTAGTATGATGAACAACAAAAAAAGCTGGTGCCACCAGGCCTGGTGGTGCACACCTTTAATCCCAGCACTTGGGAGGCAGAGGGAGGCTGATCTCTGTGAGTTCAAGGCCACCCTGGTCTACATAGTGAATTCCAGGCCAGCTAGGGCTACAGGAGGACCCTGTCTCAAAAAGACCAAAATAAATAAATAGATAAATAAGTAAGTAAATAAATGACAAAAAAAAACAAAGCTAGTGCCAAGTGTGAGGCTTTAGAGCTCGCAGCCTTACCCTCTGCTTCACGTTTCCAGTTCAAGCAGTCAGGATGCTGAGGCAGGAGGATAATGAGCTTGAGGCTGCCTGAATTACATGGTAAAACCCTCTTTCAAAAACACACAAACAAAAAACAAGTACAGAGTGTTGGGACA